GGTAGGGAGGGAGGGAGAGACGATGATGTTAAGGGAGGGAAAACATACAAGGATAGAGGGAAAGATGAAGAGTGGGAGGGGTGGTGGGGGGTAGTACCATTCTTTATTATACACACTTAACTAAATAGTAAACATGATTATTACGTCAAGAAAAAAGTTCCTACATAGTGTTATGAACAAGGACTTATGTCATAAGTAGTCACAATGATTCCCTTTAATACTCACCTTAAGTAAGACAAAAAGTCATTCAGTGTCACAAACCACAACATCACTACACCAAGTTATGTAAACACTTAAATATGTACATAATGAATAAGATGAATAAGGAAATATGTATTTACACATCATCTGCATTCATTCACTCTAGACAAGACCAGGTAATAAGAATTCTGCTCTAAATATTAGTGTAAAAATTCATAACACAAAACCTCACTATGATGCTGATTTCATTCTATGGTAAAAAGAAAAGTAAAAATGCATTCAAAATGTATAGACACGAAGAGAGTAAGACGTTTGTTTAACCAAGATATTAAACACTGTGCATCATTCCTTTGGTTAACAGGTGAGAGGTTTGTTGGGTCTACCGCCCGAGTGTACTACACCGAAGTCTCTGCCCCCTCACGAGTCCTGTCTGCTCTCTTGCTGCTCCGTGAACCCTGAGATTCAGACTCGTGAGCCCGAAGTCATAAACACTGATGCATTATACTGTCCACGGATGCTTCGGCTTCACGAGTCTGAATCTCGGGGTTCATTGAGCAGCAGGAGAGCCGACAAGTCTTTTGTTCTTGACCGTACGTGACGCTCAGGATGTCCACCCTATATGAAAATATGACTTGTGTGAATGCCTGTATGTCTGAGAGAGAGAGAGAGAGAGAGAGAGAGAGCCAGCGCAGGTGCCCACAAATGATACTTCCAGGTCAGGGGGTAACATAGATGTTAACACTTGGTGTTTGTCATTGTTTGTGAGTTGTAGTCTCACAATTCTTACCTCACCATTAATGATCTCAAAAATCAGCTCCAGGAGATACCACCGACGTTAGTGACTCCTGGGCAAATTTCAGAGACAGTGAAAATTTGATTATCGACTGACTCTTGAACGATCAACAACCTAGGAAATATTCTGTCTGTATAAGAAGTACATGCTGGGGATAAGTCTGGCTTGTCGCCGTGGCATACAGCTGCACTAAGCGTTCGAGTAGTTGGCAAATATTGCATCGATATTGTTCAAGAGGATCCCATGGACTCAAGGAACCCCAAGAGCGGTTTTAAAAGCATCGAGCAGCAAACCTCCTTCACATAACTACCGCTTGTCTTTGGTTCTCAGAGCGAATGTTTTATTTCCAGAGGCTGAGTGTTTAAGTTTATAGAGAAGGCTGGCCTCCTCCCGTGTATGTAAAACAATGTTTGTTTTTCTTATATGTATTTCTACATCCATGTGCACGTATCTTATCATTGGGTTTACGTTTCCTTGTTTTAAATTAGGTAACTCAAACTTTATACGGCGTAGTATGTTGTTAATGATAATAACCTTCAAAGACCTACAGTGTACACTACCTCGGGCAGGAACTACAGTGATATGTTTAGTCTTATAACAGCAGAGTGTAGGCGAGTGTGCTCACGAGTTATTGAGTCGAGAGCACAGGATGTTAAACAACAACCCCAAAAAATTCTAGTTTTTAAGTAGTATTGACATTGTCCCTCTTCCCCATTCTGTCCCCAGATGTCGCGCGAAGTGTGGGCGGCGTACACTGACCCGACCACTACTTCATTAATCTGTTTAACTGATCTCGTCATTGGCCAGGCAACGCCCTCCACAGACCACCGCCACCATAGTTTCCCGCCGTGGTACCTCCATGACGTTAAGAGCAGCTCACCAATTATGATGGAAAAACTTCTTATTTACTAGTCTGTACCGGCGTCTTCAATACTGAAGCCCAAGGACCCAAATCCTTTGAAAAATGGGGTTTCTTGTTTAATTTTCCGGCTTTATGATGAATAAGGAACCTGACGCTGCGGCGACATTGTCCGGGAGTATAGACGAATAAGAGGATAATGTTATTGTTTGTGGCCGACGTTATGAAACAAAAGAATAACACGCATGATTCTGCGTTTACACAAACACTTTAGATAAAGATCAATCAGCAATTCAGTAAAAGAAGGGAAAGAGAGGCAGACAGGAGTTAGTTGTTGTCAGAAGGTGACACTCATTGACACAGTCTTTGTCGAAGGTTATCATAAGCAGGTCATAAAGCGTCAGTCATGCCACACGTTGTTACAGAAAGACCAAGAAGAGACTAATATAGACTGAAAGAAGTAACAGTGATATAAGGGATGATTATAGACAGATCAGGAAGACTCGTGATGACAGAAAGACAGACACACACAACACGAGTTTGAGGACAGGAGAGCCACAGACGGGCGTCAGCTTCCCCAGTGTAGTACACGTGTGGGGACTAAACTGTCTGCTTCACCTGGAGAACTTCTTGCCTCTGAGATCCTGGGCCAGCCGCTTACCTCATTATATTGAAATCACTTACATATTCTTTATTCATTTGTCTTTTTTGTTGTGTTTATTAAGATGAACCAAGGTGGGTTTCACCGCCCTAAGGTTGCTGGGGACACTAAACGTTAGTGGCGGACAACTGATACATTTACTGACAATTATTACGATATTGTCGAACTGGCTAAGACTTTCCAGGTGAAGAAGACGAAGGATACTTTGTCCAAGAGTTATTTATAAGTGGCTTGAGAGAAAGGGAGGAGGGCCACGAGTGGTGTGTGTGTGTGTGTGTGAGGGACGCTGGACTGTCGTAGCTGTGGAGCATTTCTACTTCTTCACCGCCACGCTTAGGTTAACTATATTTATGGGAAAATGTGGGAGTAAATTCTAGTAGAAATCTCCACTACTAACTTAAGATCAGTCTTCAGGGAGTCATGACTTATACACCTGTCACATAGATTTTTCCTCCCGGGAATGCTCATGCAATGCAATACACACACACACACACACATATATATATACAGGGTGTCCCATAAGTTTCCATACATATGGTTTTTAACATTGGATTGGTCGGCGTGGTCCTGTGGAGTGGCCTCCCAGATCCCCAGACCTTACCCCACTTGATTCTTACCTTTGGGGGCATTTGAAGGCCATGGTGTATCAGGAAAAGATACAAAACATAAATCATCTCAAGCAACGTATCACCAACGCCATTACAAGCATAACTCCAGCTGTGCTTGAACGTGTTCTTCAGCAGTGGAGGACACGCATTCAAGTGTTTTCAACAGAATGGTAGTCATGTAGAGCATATTATATAAATAAAATGGATTTTCATATAAAAAGGTTTATTTTTCCTATGTATGGAAATTTATGGGACATCCTGTGTATATATATATATATATATATATATATATATATATATATATATATATATATATATATATATATATATATATATATATATATATATATATATATATATATATATATATAATATATATATATACACAGTATATATATATTTTTTTATTTTTAAGGAAATAGATTTGAGGAAAGAAGTAGCCTCTTGGGGCCAGTCAGTCGACATTCTACGTGTGTGTAGGTCAAGTGAACAAGCGTCTACATGGCGGCGGTGGTGGTGTGGCGCCCCTCACTACTTCACCAGGTATCTCACACAACATGTCTCCAACTCAATAGTATCCATCAACTAATCATCATTTCGAATCTATGTATTTTCTATTAGTGATCAATAAAGTAGATCATGAATCAGATTTTTACAAAATTAGAATTAAAGAATGAGGAGGATATTAAGATGAAATCATTAAAGCATGATCAATCAAAGCATCGTTATACGTTTGATGTAAATAAGCTTTAGTGAGCCATGATGGATGGCGACCCTGGTGGAGCTGTGGCCTCATGATACCAATTTAACTGAGCGGGACGCGCATAGAAGATAAAATTCACGTCAATGTTGACCTGGCGAGCACTGACTCGTCCTCCCTCACTAACAGCTGACCCTCTCTTACCTTGGGTTAGGTTAAGTTACGTAGGTTAGGTTAAGGTATGTCGGATGGGTTAAAGTGTGTTTAGACTAAAACAGGTTGGCTCATGATGGATTTGTGTAGGAAAGGAGTGAGGGAGATCACTACGGGATGTCATGATGGGCAAGGACCAATCGGCGCACGTCAGGCCCGCATAAGCGTGCATTCTACCAAATCACGAGCGGGACTAAGTGAGCTGAGCTGAACTAGCAGATGAGCGCAAGACGACGTGCGGACACACACACACACACTGGTGGAGGCAGAGGGAGAGAGACCTACGAGACACAACCATGGAGGAAGAAGACTCACTCTGGGGCAGGAGGCCGCCGCAGCCTCCTTGACGACGCCGGGGAAAAGAACGAGTTTAAGCAGGAGGCCGCGCGTGTCAGGGGAGGAGGAGCGGGGTCAAGGTCACACAGTTTAACATGGAGGACAGAAAAATGCATCGTGCTCCATTTTTAAGACAACTTAAATTCACACAAATAAAACGAGAAAGAGTTTATAAGATATAATTCAACAACGGGTCATAGATTCTGACGACGCAGGTTAGAAGCATCGCCGTGTATAACATAGTACTGTACTAACATTAAAACTACAAATGACGAAGCAACACCTTCTAACTTACCAAGCCTGAGTATGATCTAGTGCAATATAATGAAGTGAGAGTGTAGTGAAACACAGGCGTGAGTCAAGGCTACTACTGACGAAGTGACTCCATCAAGAACTTACCAATCTTGAGTGTACTGACAGTGTAATGAAGTATAAAGACTACTGAATGACGTACTGTTAAGAGCTTAGATGTTCTACTGATGAATCAAGACTAATGAACTCGCCAATCTTGAGTGTGATGACAGAGAAGTGGTGGCGTGTAATTTAATGCAGTGTAATGAAGCATCGCCATGAATAAGATGCGGAGAATCAAAACCTACTGAAAAAGTTAACACCAAGTAAGAACTTACCGATCTTAACGTTCTCCTGAAGGAGGAGGAGCTCCACTATTTCTACGTTCTCGTTGTCCACGGCGATCTGGATGGCTGAGCGGCCCAGGATGTCGGTACAGTTGACGTTGACGGCGGAGGGCGGGGAGAGACATCGCATCATGGTGTGTTTGTCTCCCCGCTCCGCCGCCTCCAGGAACACCCGCTCCTTAGGGTCCATCATGTGCCCGTCCTGTGGGGGGAGATGGTTGGGGTGAGAGGGTGGTTGCTCATCCTGCGGACAGAGGAGGAGAGAATGAGAACTTGGTTCATCCTTTCGGTAAAGGGCAGGACGGGGATAGGATGGGTCATTCTATCAGGAAGGAGGTGCGGTTGTGAGGATTATTCATTCTTTGAGTAGAGGATGGAAGGGAGGCGTGACATTATTTTTTTCACTGGGTAAATGAGGGATGGGGGAGAGGATGGTCCGTTTTATAAGGCAGGAAGGAGAGGATGTACCAGTTCTCGGTCAGTGTCCCTCAGTTTGAGAAGATGTACAGCCTCTTTGGCTCGTGCTGGGCAGGATGATGCTCATATTTAAGACCTTCATTATCCACCTGGCTACAGGGGAAGGGAAGGGGCAGTTTATAAGGACATGTCAAATTATACCTACTCTGTCCTGTAGAAAAGATTATCATTTAAGGAAGATGAAGGACCAGTTACACGTTCTTCCTGGGGAAAGAGAGGCATCTTCATGAGAACACTTATTGGTTATGTGCACCCTCCTGGAAAAGACTAAAATCGTTCATGGACAGTATAGACCAGATGCCCAGATTATCCTGGAAGAAAAAGGTGCCAAGCACTCAGGATAAATATTTATATATGCATGTCCTGGGAATAGCTTGATCACTTGTATAATTATGTTACGTAAACTGAGCAATAGTAACGTGGTCTCATACTGGGGATAATGTGTAAGCAGGTTATGAGAGACACCTGCTACTGTACTGCATCCAGCAGTGAATATTATGCAGAATATTCCTCACAATGTGTACACCATGGTGCCCCTCAAGAGTGATATAAGAAACGCGCTGCTGAGCAGCTGCCCCCCTTGGCCATGTTCGGCCTCACTCCTCAAGTCCCTCTCCCCGACCCATCCTCACCACAGGGATATCAACATAATCAAAGTGACAAGTTCGTTTCGGAAATAAGTGGGATCAGTGTTGAACAGTGATGAACAGTGTTTAAGCCAGTGGAAGAACAAATACTGTCAATGTATACAGCCTTAACAACATCAACCTAGAGAAGTCGACTTGTGAAAGAGACCTAGGGGTACTTGTAATCCCGGACCTACGGCCTAGAAAACAGTGCGTTAATGTTCGAAATAAGGCAAACAGAGTATTGGGTTTTATATCTAGAAGTATAAGTAATAAGAGTGCAGAGGTCTTATTGCAACTATATCTTGCGCTAGTCAGGCCGCACCTCGATTATGCGGTTCAGTTCTGGTGCCCCTATTATAGAATGGATATAAATTCACTAGAGTCGGTGCAGCGAAGAATGACAAAAATGATTCCGGGACTTAGAAACCTTCCATATCAGGATAGGTTAAAGAAACTAAACTTGCATTTCCTAGAAAGACGAAGAGTGCGGGGAGATATGATAGAAGTATTTAAGTTGGTGAAAGGAATCAATAAAGGGGATATAGATAACGTTCTTATAATATCCGAGCAGGATAGGACTCGGAGCAACGGATTTAAGTTGGATAAGTTTAGGTTTAGGAGGGAGATAGGAAGGAACTGGTTCACAAATAGGGTGGTGGACGAGTGGAACAAGCTTAGCAACTTTGTAGTAAGTGCTGGAACGCTGGAAAGTTTTAAAAGGAGGCTGGATAGATTCATGGATGATAGAGAGTGGTAGTAACTCTCGACAGGAGCTGCCATGCACAGGCCAACCGGCCTATTGCAGACTCCTTATTTTCTTATGTTCTTATGTTAATTCAGCACCAGACAGTACCAGTGAGAGCCGTGACCCACCACTGAGATAAGCACCCCTGGAACTGACCACCATCTTCTGACCAGGAGGTGCTAATCAGTCCACCATGGGAACAGCAGTGGGTCAGCTTCACACCTGACTACGAGATAACACAACACCACCCAGTAGGGTGGGGTACTGTGACACCACCCCACACCACACTGTGTCCCCATGACCACGTAAGGTCTTTCATATCAACACCTACTGACGAGTTACTGCACCCCGTGAACACCACACCACCCGATGTCTCCATGAACAGCCCAGGCCCGGGCCATCAACTGTAAACTATAATAATTTGTATGTTCAATTCTTGTTCCTTCTTCTTTAAGTAATGAAAGCTTTTGTTAAACGACCCACCCACCCCATGTCTTTGTATGTGATAAGTCATTTTTGTCCAATGTACATTTTCAGCCTTCGGGTTGTAGAACTTTTCAATAAACCGTTAATTATTATTATTATTATTATGAATATTATTATTATTATTATTATTATTATTATTATTATTATTATTATTATTATTATTATTATTATTATTATTGTTATTATTATTATTATTATGAATATTATTATTATTATTACAAACACACACTTCATGTAACCTCTATTTTTATGAAATCTGTTGCTAATGGCATCACTGCTATATATAAATAAATAAATATATATATATATATATATATATATATATATATATATATATATATATATATATATATATATATATATATATATATATATATATATATATATATATATATATATATATATATATATATATATATATAAATGTGTGTGTGTGTGTGTGTGTGTGTATGTATGTGTAAACAATAACAAGTATGATTAGTCGTTATTCGTATTATTTTTTTCCTCTGGGAAAAGTCACTGAAGGTTAAAAAAAAATACAAGTGTTGAGGCCCCGCCGACAGGGGGCGCCTCACACACATAAGATAAAGTCAGTCAGCAGGACAGTGTCACACCTCCACCACTATTGTTACCTCCCAGCCTGGTCCATGATCACCTCTTGTTTATGTAACGTATTGTGGATGTAGTGTTGGGTTGGTGCTGTGGGGAGGCACAGGAAGATGGTGATGAAGAAGGAGTGTAAGATGATTAATGGGACAAATTATGTACAAGCTAAGATGGAGGAAATGGAGGCCGAGTGAGTAATGGTGGCGACACAGACACACTCACATTAGGAATTACAAACGATGCGCGGCATTAAAAATAACAACAATACCATGAATGGACAGCAGAAAAACTGTTAACATAAAAAATTAAGACAATGGCAGCTCCACAATACAAGTTAACGAACCTGAGTATTTTCAATATATTTTCCTAGTATTTATATTTTTTGTTATATAAATTAAAGGCACAACCTCTCAGGTTGATACATAATGTTGTGGTTGAGTGAAGCTCTACCACTGACAACATAAATGACACAAATTTATCATTACCGTCGAGTTTTGAGAGATAAACAGACATTCACAACAAGGTAATCAGAGACCGTGTAGAGTACCTCACCCCGACCGTGCTCTTGTTACCGACAGTTCACTATTCGCTTGTGTTTTTATTCTGTGAAGCCATGACCGTTCTTCAAAGACTCACCACAACATATTTGAAGAGTTTTTATCTGGCAATTTATAACGTGATGAATAAAAATAAAATGATGTTTTTGTCAGGAATACCTTGACCTCACAGCAGTTAATTCCTTTGGCAAATTTGACCTTTGTCATAAAAAAAAATCATCCGTGTGATATTTGCCGAAAATTCATTACTGACGTCATATCATAGAGAAACGTGACAAACACAGAAAGGCAAATACACGTCTCTTTTGGTGATCTTCTTGTCGACTAATCTACTGTAACAAGTCTCTTCCTTCTACGAAACTTAGATATTAACCCCCCAAGAAAAGGTCAGTTGTTTCAGTATACACAACACAGTTCACCTATGACGTATGGTCAAATGTGGTGTTGATATAGTTGAGATGTCCTTCATTATATTACCTCATAAACCCCATCGGAGGCGAAGTAATAATAATAATAATAATAATAATAATAATACATAGATAACAGCGAAAAAATTGCATTGAAAATTTACCATAACTGGATTCTATTTCTCTTATCAGTTAGGGGGAGGAAATGTAACGTAAGAGTAACTATGAACGCAGATCATAGACTCCAAGAGGGAAGGAATCGACCGCTGGGAGCAAAGACTCGAACTGAGGATGAATGTTGATGACAGCAAAATGTGTATTAGTTTATTAGTGATGCGTGGCAATTATTGTGTTTTACTTTAATTTTTTTATATAATTAATAGTTTCCTTCTCATTATTTTCATCTCTCTCTCTCTCTCTCTCTCTCTCTCTCTCTCTCTCTCTCTCTACCCAAATTTAATCTAAGTTAATCAGACACAACCTTTCGGAGTCAATACTAATCTAAAATATTTCAAAATAATTTAAGGATATTCAATAATAAATCAAAATTAACCGAAATAGACCAACAGCAACTTAACCTAACCAATACTAACACAAACTAACCTAAACTATCAATACTAACAAAATCTAATTAAAAACAAACTAATATTAATCTAACCTATTCTAACTTAACCTAACCCATACTAACTAAAAATAACTAACCTATGTTCACTTATTCAACACTAACTTAACCTAACCAATACTAACACAAACTAACCTAAACTAATTCAACCAAACCACAACTAACTTATCCTAACCAAACACTAAGGTAACTTCAACCTTCGTTACATATTAAGATAAAAACGATTATGTAACAACGAACTTCTATATGTAACAAAGTCAAGTATACTTTTTTACACCTTATTCACATTTGTTATCTTTTCTTCACAAATACATTAAATTTTCTGGTCCAATTTTATGCGTTTTATTGGGGACAAGTTGATATTTTTAGTGAAGGAAGGAAGGAACGAAGGCATGAAGGCATGAAGGAAAGAAGGAAGGAAAAAAAAGAAGGAATGAGAGAGAGAGAGAGAGAGAGAGAGAGAGAGAGAGAGAGAGAGAGAGGTGGTGGGGGGTGCGACGTTAAGTAAGAGTGACATTATCGGGCTGGTGGTGGCAGTAGGAGCCTGAAGGTGGAAACACGGAAGATGGTGGTAGTCTGCAGCCTTTGAGAGAGAGAGAGAGAGAGAGAGAGAGAGAGAGAGAGAGAGAGAGAGAGAGAGAGAGAGAGAGAGAGAGAGAGAGGCACGTCTAAA